AACCGGGTGATGTTGGTGAATAGCTCGGAGACGTCGGCGAATAAGCTGCAAAAAAAATGGCTTACACTGCAAAATACAGTTTAAATATTTCACAGATTTTCCAATAAAAACACAAAAATTTATCTTTATAACCACATTAGTGGAATGGAGAAGTTGCCAGCAGTGCTGATCTTAGGAAAAGGACAATTAAAAACAATAGAAAAAATCATCCAAGCAATTATCCAGAAAAGAGAACTTACACGGTGACGTAGGCGAATAGCTGGGACTGGTCGGCGAGTAACTTGGTGACGTTGGGCTGTAGCTTGGTGATGTCGGTGAATAACCTATAATTAAAGGCAAGATAACAAAATCAGTTAGTTCTGTACTGGTACCGAATCAAATGTATCCAGAAAAAAAAAGGAAAAGTAAACATGTGTGAATGTATGAAAAACGTGAGGGTCCAACTCTATTTTCGAGAAAACACAAACCCGCAGAGCCATTTTTTAGGAAAAAAGGGAATAATTGCTTTAAAGTTATTTACACCGCCGTTAGTAATATTTAGAAAATAAGCAGCTTACTTGGTGAGGTAGGGCTGTAGCTTGGTGATGTTGGTGAGTAGCTTGGAGAAGTTGGTGAATAGCCTGAAACACAAAACAGTTATTTAAAATAAAAAGGCATGAATTAGATCAACGTTAAATCGAACTTTAATAAATCTACTCAGTAAAAGTTTAAAAAAAGCCCACAGAAATAAAATTCCACTAAAATTCAAAATTTTCAAAACATGGTTTAAAATATTCACAAAAATCGCAGATATCAAAAACTGTTTGTTGGTAACATCTGCTTCCGTAAAGATGGCATTGGTATCCTTTAGTGTAATTCAAAACCAGAATTCAACAAAAAAAAAAAAAGGAAAATATGGACTGGAAATCATCTGATGACAATCAAAATCTCAATTTTGATTTGAGGAATAAATTTAGAAATTGATTATGTGGATGGGTAGCACAAGAGCAAGTTAAAACCATGATAGTTGGCAAACTTACTTGGACTTGTTGGTGAATAGCGTGGACTAATCACACCATATGCAGGCGATGTAGCTCCGTACGGAGAGGCTGGACTGGTGGGTGAGTAGCCCGGGCTACTCAACCCTTCCAGCCCGGAGCCATAATCACTTGCTGCTGGTGAATAACCACCGGCGCCAGTAGGTGACATTCCCCCAAGCGATCCACCAGGCGATCCTGGACTCCAGCTTCCGGTACCGCTAGAAAAACCATTTTTACAAAAGGAAGAAAAAGTCGTGAATTACGATCACTCTATAAAAATTGAGAAAAACGAAAACTAAAAATTTGCAGAGGTAAAGAAACCTGTACGGCGAGAAGCCACCCTCACTGTGGCCTGAAGGCGAAAATCCAGCTCCACCAGGCGTCATTCCGGAACCAGTAGCCGGACTCCATGCGGCACCTAGCCAGGCGTTGTTCCAGCATTCCATGGTGTTTGCGCCGGACTCATTGATGAGCTAAAATGTACAATACTTTTTACATCAGTTTATTTGTTTTAATTTCAAACATGCCGAAACAGCCATAAGACTGCTTTTAAACAACTCTCACAAAGGTTCGCCCCCCGTCTCCGTTCCCGCCCCCTCCCTAAGTTAAAACATTTCAGTGGTCAAGAAACCCCAACTTATCAGAAGTACCGTGAATTCAACGTAGATCTTCGGAAACAAACAAAGCAAAAATGAAAAAAGCAAAAATTATGTAGCAACAAAGGCTACCTGGCAGGAGACATTGCACCACCGTAAAATAGGCCACCCGCACCGAGCAATCCACCACCTGTCTGTATTTCCATCGCCAATTTGCATTTGTCCGCATCTAGCACCAAATCAAAGCACCCAGTTCCGGCTCGAGCCAATTGCCCTAGCATAATGTTTTCCGAAACACCTACAAATGCAATGAAATTTGTTTCTGTCATTCCAGATAACTGCAGCTGATGTTGAAAATCCATTCCGGCCAAGACTTGGCCCTTGAAACCCATTCCAGAGTGCGTTTAACTTGACGCTATATGAACTTACACCGCACATCAGATGGTGTTTTGACGCTGTAGGAACCCATAGCACAAACTTTACTTAAATCCTAATTAAATAAGCACAACGCCCATCCTGAAACGCAATTCTTATTTTACTCGGTTTTTCGAAAGTCAGTGCCAAATGTTCATAACGCACCAGTTTCTTGGACAGCAGTAAACACCACTGTGGTTAGAGAACTGGGCAAGACGAACGAACATTTCGTTGCAGGCACAGGACCGAAAGGTGTCAAAGTTTGGTGGGAAAAGCTTATGATGCCGAGAAAAAGAGTTTCTGCTTTCAACTAAAGTTTACGAATTCCCAAATTTATAAAAAAACCCCGCAATTTTCAAAAAAAGGACTTCCTTCTTCGCCCACATGCATTCTTTGACCTAAACGCCTCTCTAGTGCTAAAAAATAGTATACAAGCACCAACTCCTTTGTTGTTCTGTTTTGCCTTAAATAAAACTCTGGACTCGTTCCTGCTGAGAATGTTCTCGCTCACACGCGATCTTAGAAAAGTACCGTAAAAACTGTGGTTGCGTTCGAACAAAAAAAAAAACCTCTGGCTTAAAAAAATGATTTGGGTAACATTTCCTCTGAATCACGGGAAAAGTCGATTAGTCTAGCAGGGCTGGTTCTCCTAGATGTATCCAGTACATTCCCAAACAGCCGTGATTCCAAACAAAACCAAGACAGCCCCCGTGTTCCACGAAAGCATTAGTCATCCTCATTATCGTGTTCATCGTTTTTCCCCATTTTCATAAGACAAGCCTTTCACTTTGCAATAGGTATAAAGCTTTTCGGCCGAGCTACTACCTTCGGGACTACTCTTGGTTTTTTTAATTTTTTCATCATCAGTGCTAAATGACGTGAGTCTTCCTAAAACCGTCAATCGGCATCAGTGAACCTCATCTCGAACAGTACCAAGAAAAGTCCATTTTACGTGCAGCTGTGCGAAAAAATGGGGTACATGCTAATTTCAACAAAGGGCTGGTACTTCTTTATCACGACCGTTACCGAAACTTTTGTAGATTAAAAGATTGATAAGGCCACAGAAGAAGGAAATCGTGGAAATCAAGAAAATGTAGGCTATTCGAAATATGTATCATTTTTCTACACCAATCCATACATGGATCGCGAGGATGGGTTGCCTAGAAGCAACCTAATAAGTGTTGGAAAGAGTAGCATTACTAATAAATTCCGCCATGTTTCAGCACTTAAACGTCTTATCTCACTCTTACTTTCTTTTCTCATACTGTTCTTTTACGCTGTAATCTATCGCGTCTTCCAGGATTAACCCAGCTGCTAGAATCGGCTCATCACCGAAACTAATGACCAAATGAAGAGCAGACTAATTTACTTATCGCTCAAATCGAACCGCCCGCATTATTTAACTCATTCTAAGCTTTTTTTTTGTTTGAATAAACTTAAAATTCAAAAGCGTGACGGCCAAAAGGTAAACTGTGTAT